ACACGTCTCAAATAAATTGTTGCACAGTACTTCTGAAGTTTCTCCTTCACTCCTGTTAATATTTTAGTGAGGAGTAAAGAAAGAGGCTTGGTAGAACATTTACTGGAACCCGCCATGTATCTTTGTCTATATGGATTTTTATGAAGTTTCGGAAATCAATATGGATATGGTAATTCAAATTCATTTTGATTGTTGTGAATATTACAAATATTTAAAACCGACATATCATTTTGAAGAATTTCCTCCTTAGAAAAGAACTATGGGGTATAAATTGGATTGACACTTGTAGAATTAAATCCCAGTTCCCATTTGTACCTTAAAGAAAGAGGAAATGAATTAAATTACGTATAATGACACTTACAGATGCAGTAAAATCCCGAAAAAAAATATTGCAGACGTAAAGGCCCATTTCAAAATGTATGTTGCTGTCACAGGTTTGTCATAAATAAGGAAAGAACTTTGGTCCGTGATGGCGACACTTCCGTCCTGGACTCACTTGTGGTCATTGTACAATAACAAGTAGGTCGGAATGGCTCGCCCGGTCCTTCCGACTATATAATTATGCACTTTTACTTCTTACTTCTAACTAGGATCTAAGGAATGTTTATTATTAACATATTGTAATTGTTTGTTACTTATGTACATAAACTTTCTATTTTATATATAATACGAAATGTGCATATTTTCCTATACATACTTTACTCATACTTTGTACTCAAACTTACTGTCCATACTTTAGACATGGTCATTCACTTATACGTTGAATACACATTACAAGTATTCTACTTACTACTGTACAAACACTTACTAGGCCTACAATACTATCGACACATTGTTACTACTTTGAATATAGTTCGAGTACTGTATTACCACTTACTTACTACAATGCTAACGACACGTTGTTACTACTTAAATATATACGTTGAGTACTGTACATTATACGCATCATTCAACAATATATTTATTTGAAACAGCTTTACGAAAAATGTCAACAATACAGCGAACTAACTTGGCAGAATTTGCAACTAAATTGAAATGTAAATTTAAAATAAACTCTAAAATGAAATACGCTTACCTCAGAGGTGAGTAGAATTTCTGGCATATAAGATTACTGGACAAGAGTAAATATATCCTGACACAGGATGACATGTCCTTCTCTGGTGCCTGCTACGCCCAATCTGCCCAGCACATGTACATGTATTTAAGGAATCTCTAAACACTACAAAAAGTGCTTTTTGGACTTGGAGAAAAATATATCATATAAAGGTGTGCATATTGAGAATATTTAAGTCATTTTCAAGATAGGATACCTGCCTTTTTTTCTGCAGGAAAAATGTTCAAAGCCAATGGATCTTCGTAAGCAGAAATCACTGTTGTTTACCTACATTGGGAAAACTAACGGAAATAGTGAATTCAATAACTTATTCTTGGTCTAATATAATGCTAAGAATATTTTAATCTATTACAAATTGTGTAATTAACTGTAAATAACCATTTTTTCTATCTTACTTCTAAGGGCAGATCACTCTAACTGCATAAAAGTACCCTATAAGTAGAACTCTTTAGTGTGCAGTGTTTAGAGCTTCCTTAAGGGGAATGCAACATCAAATTTCATTTCATTGATCTTAAAGACTTCGCTATTAAGTTATGGTTTCAGCGTTGATAGACCGGTATTAGCTCTTAATTATTTTATAAGAATTTTTACCAATTTTTCGTAGAAAATGTAAAAGTTAAAAATTTGCTGTTAATAAATGCATGATATAAATATCTAATAAAATATGTAAAGAAAAGCAAGATAGTCATTTTAATTTTTTTACTTATTTATGAAAATTATTTGTGAATATTTTCAAAACCTACGGATAATATATTCAAAAAACAAGTCACAGCTACGGAGGCCCGTTGAGGCCAGTTGAGAGAAAGAAATATTTTTTATTGCGTTTAAACGTAATGTACTCCACATATTTCATGCATGCTAAATTATAATTTGAAGGAAATGCATGCATTTTTACTCTTTCTATATTCTATATCTAATATCTATTTTAAAAATGCTTGCATTTCAAAAAAAAAAGGGTAAAAGTAAAATTCAATTATCCTTTTCAAAATATTATCTTTGTGAACTAATGATTTACTACACTGTGTTAAAAATCTGTAAATCAGATTATGCTATCATGAAAAAAGGGCCTTTTTAAAATCCTTTTAAAAACATAGGATTATTATAGAAATATGCCCCTTTTCTATAGTCCATGTAATTCCTATATGTCAAAACATACCATAATAAGGTTTTGTCTTCATTAGATTTTCTTAGATTTTTTACTTCACATATTTTGTACAATATTTACGACAAAATAATATCTTTTTTAATTATTTTTACTTTTAGCCTACATTTTTGCTAAATTGATTGGACTGGATTGGCTGTAAACAGAAGAATAACGATCTGAACTATCGCTCTTCCAATTAGATATTTGTTCTATTCTGCACTTGCCCTTGAGGCTTCACAATTTTAGCAAATATTTGATTTTTTATTTCTTTATTATTATTTTTTTTATGTATAGAGTTTATAAGGATGTATTTTTAAAACTGAATAAAGCTATAGGGCAAGTTTTGAAATTTAAATAAACGGCAAGTTTGCTTTGAGGTGCTTACTCCTCCAAGGCACCTTATCCCACCTGTTATGTTTCGAGGTGTCTGTGTTTTTGTCTTGTTCAGGATAAGTTTTGTTACTAGATTAATGAGATTGGTCACTGTTCGTTATCTTCAGTGTTACATTTTACATGTATATATCCTTAACTTTACTACCTACTCAGTAGCCATTAATCTAAATATGTAGATATTGTCCATTAGATTTCAAAAGTGTCTTTTTATGCACTCAACATGGAGCAGATTATTTGAATGATGTCACTGGACGTTTACTTCCTTCATGCATAAACATTTGATTTATTATTTAGAAGCTTTTGGACGCCTATATTGCATTCAGGAAGCTAAGCATTTTAAAACATTGATTCACAAGATTGGTTTTGATCTGTAAAACTGTCTTTAAAAATGTAAAGTATGACAACTTATCATGACATCAAATGCAACTCAAAATTTATTCTTTTAAACCCTCAGGCAAATGGTTATTTTGTAAAGTACCACAATTGTTAAGGATAATAAAAATGAACACCATAGAATAAGGTATTCAGGTACACTAAAATTTAAGGTATTCAGGTACACTAGAATTTAAAATGTATTATCAATTTTCTTCATCCAACGTAAAACAGGTTAAAAGAACAAACTTAGACGTTGAGCAAAAAAGGGGGGGGATGTATTTTTAAACGATAACTCCATTATCTTTTTTGATTTTGATATATTATGGATCTACATTAAAAAGATATTTACATAATAAACTATAAAAATCCAGATTAAATACGTCGATTAAAAGAGGAAGTTTACTTCGTTTGTGGAAAAAGAATGAGTTGAGTATATTAACTAAGATAATTTCTCAAAATGTGCTATTTTTCTGTAGAAATGATAGCTATTTTGAGAAAATGCGAAGTTTTAGAGCTTAGCTTTATACTCCTCCACAAAGTCTCCGACCCCGAGATTACATGAATGTACAATTCATGAATAAACCTGGCCAAAAATATATGAATTTCGTTACCAATATTTTGTCCTATAATCTATTTCCGATTTTAATCAATTTCTTATTCATTTTCGAATTTTTTTTATTTTCACAAATCAACGCCTTTCTGAAAATTTGAAAGATACCGGTATAAAAATTATGGTCAGAAACTTGTGAATAAGATTATTCCTTACAGTACATTAGGGTATTTTTAACCAATATTTATCCTTTAAAAAAGTAGGGCTGTATCTGTCATGGCTTTATTTTGGTTTAACGTTTTATACACTTAGCAAGTACATTAGCAGTGCACAATTTTTTAGCAAGTGTAGCCAATCATGGGCCAGTCCTCAATATAGCATTTAGCGCATACATTTCGTAGAAACAAGGAGTCATACTGTGCTGAAAACTCTGAAAGGTAAACAGAAGTTGAAGCAATGGCTTGTTCCAAAATTCTGATGGCAATATCAGTGCAAGTAAATATAAATTCAAGAGTTTTGGACAGAAGTTGATCATCCTTCCACCATGACCTTGAATTTTCCATGCTGCAACCCCTACCCCCTTTTTGCAGATTCGAAAAGGATCTGTCAAAGAGTAAAAGACTTATCAAGTTTATGGGCTGGAAATGCTTAATGCGGCAGCTTTTTCATAGATCTATTTTTATTTTTCAATTGTCTCTTTTCCAACCTACAGTATGTCAATAACAAATGTATCTATAACATTAATTTTGGACCGTAGTATGACTCCTTGTTTCTACAAACTGTTTGCGCTAAATGCTATATTGAGGATTGGCCCATGATTAGCGACACTTGCTAAACTACCGATCCTTATGCACTACTTATGTAATTGCTAGGTGTATATGACGTTCAACCAAAATAAGGCCAAAATAAAGCCATGAGAGATACAGTCATACTAATTTTTAAAAAAAAAATATTGGTAAAAAAGAGATACGTAAATGTAATATAAGGAATAATCTTGGCCACAAGTTTGACTGTGTCTTAAAATATCGTAACCTGTTCATCCTTACACAATATTTCAAGGTCTTTAAGGAAAGTGTCAAAATAGACTCCCTTATCTTAAGGTGATCCTTGGACTGGATTAAAGTTTCAACAATTATGTGAATACTTCCTTGTGAATGCAGTAAAAGTTGACAGATGGAGGCATATGTTTATACCCCTTGAACCTCAATGAGTTTTCCTTGATATATCTATGTATTTTGGAAACTTTCCATTGCTTTTTATATATCATAAACATTATAAGGAAGTCGATCCATCTGCGTGGTCAGTTGTCTTATTGGTTGCTTCCTAACTGGCCTCTATATAAAAACATCTTCTCTGCTTGAGATTTAAGAAAATAAAGATGAATACCGGAATTCACATTCTCTTGTACTTTGTAATTGTAACAGTGTCTGAAGCTAGTCATTTTAGAGGCGGTACAATAAGTTGGCAACCCACTGGAATCGGTTATGGGGTAACTTTTTCGTTTAAACTTTTTTCTTCTGAAATTTTCAAAGATTTAGACATGATAGCAGAAAAAATTGTCTTCAGAATCTTTCCTTTTTTACACATTTTTCATACATTTCATTGGTTTTTTTTTTTTATTTTCTTTAATTTTTTCTTTTAAATTTTAATGTTAAATGATTTAAAATATATAAGAAATATTTTAATCAAAGGGTACACAACCTTCAAAACTATTAATGAAATCTCGAGATTTACTAAGTAGATACAAGGTCACGGATGGAATTTTATATAAAGCACTAAAAATGACCAACGACACGAAAAATAATAATTGTCAAATTTTCGGGACGAACCTGTCCCTTCCTCGGGACAAAGAAAAAAGTTAAGAAGTCATAAAAACAAAGGAAATATTTGGTCATTTTTAGTGCTTTATATATATATATATATATATATATATATATATATATATATATATATATATATATATATATATATATATATATATATATATATATATATATATATATATATTGTGAATTTAAGTTTCCCCAAAAACTTTGCAGGTCCAGTTCTCATTTAAGTTGGGATGGATATACGGCCAAGGACCTGGTTGCACTCCAGCGCTGATAGGTTCCCTGGTCACGGGGATGAATAGTACCTTCTGGAGGTGTACGTCTGGTTGTACTTCAACCTCTCAACCTTTGAGTACAGTGAACTACATTTGTACAGGAGCCAGTGTAGCTGAGAATTGGGAACAAGGGGAAAGAAATTTTGAATTTACATTTCCAGGAGAAGGTCCATTTGTTGTTGAGTATGATTATTACAGTATATATGTATTCATTCCTCTTTTTAATATAAAGTAGCAGTTGTAAATCTTTTTTTACAATTATATCTATTGTTATTTTGTAACCTTGCCGATTTGTTTTGCCCTTTTCTTCATACATCCATTGAAACAAATGACGAAGAATTGTACTGGAAAAAAATAATTTTGTTTCTTTTGAAAAACGATGTCTCTTTTAACAGATTTACAGGTTGTTGCTGGATAAGTTTGAACTATGGGTCTCCTTCATCCTGGTCAATTCAGACAGTCGTAAATTTGGCCACCAGGAGCGATATCCAACAACCTAACAGTAGTCCTGTCACAACAGGAAAACCAATGTACACGTAAGACTTAAGATCTGTTTTAACTTTATAAAGTATTGTGGAATCATCATTGTTCGTAGAGACCCTCACCTACGAATTTGCATCCTCGTGAACAATTATTCTGTCAACATATTTATAATTGAATATTCTCTATGTACGAGCTACCCACAAAATTACGTCCCAATGAACAATACAATTTTGCTTTCCCACAAACATTTGCCCCAGGTATTAAAATTTTTCAACAATAATAAGAATTGAGCCTCAAATGAGCTTTTTCTGATCGAAATTAGTCCGTTGTTTGTCGAAATCGTTACCGTAAACTTTTAAAATTTATTATCTTCGCCAGAACCACTTCAATTTCAATTCAAAATGCATCTTTGAAATAATGTGTATTCAATGGGCTTTTTTTAGTGTCATTTAATTATAAATACTTAGAAAATACTGTAAATTTGCTGGTTATCGGACTGGACATTTAAAAACTCTTTGACCAGTCAACAATTTCACTAGCTAAATAAACTGTAATATATCGAATGTTCGTTAGATGTCATTCTAAGTTATATAAGATATATACAAAATAACCAGGAGAGTGTCATTTTCCCGTTATGTGATTTGTTGTAGTTCTCATGAAATTCAAAGAATACCAAACACTTTACTTTTAAAAGTTACAGAATTTACCTACAATAGTAAATGTAATTAAATAAAGTTTCAAAACGTATCTTAAAGTTTTCTTATGATTCGATATAAATATTGCACAAGTACATATTGTTTATTTGGTTTCAATCTATCTCTTCAGATTTCAGTATGGGTGTCGGCTTGCTTTACAAATTCCAGTAGCAGATGTTAATGGAGATATTCTAAGATGCCGATGGTCCACGGGTTCAGAATGTGTCTCTGTCTGTACAGCTCTTCCATATGCCAGCTTAGATAGTGTAAATTAATATTGCTGTATACCATATCATTGAGGTCTGACGATACGTTCCTCGAAATCTGTTTCGAATCTCATTGTAACATTTCAAAAATATTTATAATTATTATCATCTTGTTATTTCTAAACTGTCTTAAAATGTCTTAAAAGATAAAAACACAAAAAATTGTGATATCAGCAATTTAAGTGATATTCAACAGCTGATTATAAAGGAAATGTCATCCTTAGGTTTCTTGCAACAATGCCTGGTAAGATACCTCAATTTTTTGGAAGGAAACTTGTTAGAGTAGCAATACTTCAATCAAAAATTCCTCGGAAAAATTATATATAATCGGGGAACGTCTCTCTGACCTTACTATTAAATTTCATCGTCTAACAATAATAGTTTTATACTGAAATTGATTTTGATGTTTATGAATAAAAATTAAATGTTTCCATAGGAAACATGTACGATAACCTTTCCATCGAACCACACAGTGAATGGAATATACGCTGTAGCTATAACTGTAGAAGACTTTCCCCGCTCAAATATTCTTATTGGTGGGAGGACATATACTCCTTCTGACCCAATGACATCAGTTCATCTCCAGGTATTTTTTATATACATGTAGAGTTGGGTATGTATGTATGTTAAAACAAATTGTATACAATTAAATTTTTTAATCAATTACAGTTACATATCTCATTTTACATCGCTAGCAATCAAACGTAAATTTTTTAACATTGTTCGATTTCTTTATGTTCCTGACACCATCGACATATTTTACATGACACCATTTAGATATATATTTGTGACTGCATATCTTAAAATAGCATTTCTTATCATTTATTTCTATAGAATATCAAGAGTTGATGTTACGTCACCAGCTTGGATGACATATACTTCTCCCTTGCTGTACCCAGGACGACCTGGAGTTGTCTTTATCAACACAACATGGACACCAACAGCACTACAGATTGGTTCACATATTCTCTGCGTCTTGGCGGAAGATAATAATGGGTAAATTTAACTGAACAGCTGACAATATGCATTCACTCAATGTATGATGTATATATTATTATATGATGATAGTGTAAGGATTTTGAAAAATTAAAAAAAATACGTAACAATACCTGACAAATATTTAGATTCAAATAGTTCAAACAAACAACTTCATGGAACAAAGTAGTGTCATATGACCAAGTAGTGCTTCTTTTGTAGAAAAGCAAGTGACTCTCGGTGTGTTGAAATAAGAGTTACAGGTTTGTTTAACTTTTTTACAAAAACAATTACCGTTTGAACATTAAAAATATATTTGCCTTATTACTTATTGAATATATATATATATATATATATATATATATATATATATATATATATATATATATATATATATATATATATATGACATAGATATAAGCCCCTGTGTATCTGAACCTTGTCTGAATAATGGGACATGTATTCGCCTTGGAATGACTCAAAACTTCACGTGTAGCTGTATTCCTGGGTACACCGACAGGATATGTCAGACAGGTACTAGTATATCAGACTGCTTAGTACAAAATGTGACCATTATGAAAGTTTGTCTCTGGACAATAAATATTTTGATCTTCACACACTTTAAACTGATGTCTCATTTAAATGTTATAGTTTAGGCTGTTAAGTACACTTGATTCAAGTGCGAAGGTAGTTGATACTTTTTTATGAGAGATTGATTTACATCACAAGTAAACACATACTTTTAAGCTCACACAGATTGTGTCATAGTGATGACATTGTGACGTAGATTTACACTGTGTAATAAATTTTACTTGAATATACATACTTTCATGGGCTTTTATTTAAAGTCTTTATATCCTCTCTATTTATCTTGCTTTTCAAGAAATCGACGAATGTGCCAGTCAACCATGTCTGAATAATGGGACATGTACAGATTTTCTTAATTCTTTTTCCTGTACCTGTCATCCTGGATTTACAGGTGCTAACTGCGAAACAGGTATGTATGTTTGAGAAATATTTTTTTTATGGAGCAACTTTTTAATATAAACATCAAAAGATGGGAGAGACATTTCTCAGTTTTGGATTTTATTATTTATTATTACTTTTTTTTTTATTTTGATTTTATCTGTTGATTACTGTTCGTTATTTTCACACTTTATAGATATAAATGAATGTGCGAGTTTTCCATGTCTTAACGGAGGTTCTTGTCGGGATCAGATAAACCTCTACCAATGCGCATGTGCTGCTGGCTATGGAGGCTACAACTGTGAAATTGGTAGGTACTACGTCTTTTTTCGTTTACATGTATCTGAAGTGATCGATAAACCTAATCTATGTCCTTTCTGCCTATAGTGGCATGTCGCCGGTTATCCTTTCACATTTTTCACATTTTAAGAATTTAAGCCTCTTGGTTACATCTGATTTACTTTTTACCAAATATTTTTATATGCTGAAGTTTAGTTCTAATAAAGAAAAAGAAAATCCTGTGCAGAACAGTTATAGGAACCCCGACATAGATCTCAGTTATCATATTGATATGACACTTTAATCAATCGGTGATAAATTACATTACATAAATTACATTCATTTTATAACCAAACATCATTTTAATTCTGGTTTCTCATAATATTAGTACTCTCTCTTTTCTAAAATTATGGAAGGTGATAGAAAACTCATCTTGCAACTTCATTATGAAGGCATCTTGCTCTGCTTGTGACTACAGTGTACATTATTGCTACCATATAATCTGTAATAGTCTGTATTTTCTCAGTTTAGCTTTGGAAAAAAGTTAAAAAGATTTATTCTATTCAGTTAACGATAATATATAAGAAAAAAAGACATGTTGGTGTTGGATTCGTAAAGTGAAAAGGGTTTAAAAATAAGGTCAACTATACAACCTTCCTTTGTTCCCATTTTGAATGCATTTTTAGATTCATTTATAATACAGAGTACATCTTACTGACGTTTAGTTCCTATGTAGTAAACGGTTTTCCATTCTGCATAATCCTATGGCAAGTTTATTATTTATTGATCTTTTACAGACATTGACGAATGTGCAATAAATCCATGTACTTTCCTCTTTGATTGCTTTGATGGGCTAAATGATCGAGTTTGTAAGCTTAACGAATTCAAATTGGCTGCATTAGTAACAGCACTAGCACTTACTGTTGGAATCACTATATTCATCATCTGCAAAAACAAGAAAAAATACAGGAAAGTCGACCATTCCTGGTAACTCTCTCTCTCTTGAACTAGTTTATACAAGTTTTGATTGCTTAAAATATATTTTTGAGTGCTCTAGATTTGGAGAGTTTTTTTTTTTAATTTAGGCTATCTAACTACTTAGATGTTCGGAAACCTGACTCTCAACCAAAACTTGTGTAAGTAGTGACCTTTTGAAATATTCATGAGTTAGAAAAAAAATGTCATATTTTTAACATTATCTAATTAATTTTTTTTTCTCTAGGTACCAGCCCAGGTCGGTCCAAAATTTGAACCAAACTAATACAATTTGCACCTTGTTTAGTTTAGGATCCAAAAACTTTTTAAAATGAGATATAAGGATATGGAAGTGGGTTTCAGAAACTGTGACATCATAAGATGAGAATTTTTTATTATAGTTTTGTTTGTAACATAAAAAAAATACTCTTGCTTCTTTTACTTGTATATGTATAAATGCTTTGCTTGATAATGTATTAAATCTTGAAAAAAATTAAATATATAGTAATTTTTGGATGAACTTGTTGAGAATGACAGCTGTGTCTATCTGGGGATTTTATATTTTAGCACATTAAATTATAAAGCATTCTTAAAACTTTCACAAAATATTAAGTTGCTTTTTTAGGAGCGATATTTAAGGGAAAATGGAAGAGAGTAAATATTATACTAAATGCAAAATATACTTCCTGAAATAACTCCGTAGCGAAATGGCATTTTTTAAAATATATTTATCACTTGTTTATTATAAATAATTACAATAAATACAATTTTGAGACAAAACTTCAGCAGAGGCCCTCCGGACATACCTCACCTGGAGTGCCAGGCGCTCCCTGAATCGGTAATAAATATAATTTCTTATTTCATGTACAAAATTACATAAATTGTAAAGCATTTCTATAATACACACTGTTCATATTATTGAAAAAATTCTAATGTTAACATTTCGGTCATAAATAATATATATTTCAACTGGCGTCATAATTTCATAAATATTATGAATTTTGTGGAAGATTACGCCAGACGATGGACCAAACATGAAAAAGAAGACTTTGACACTTTGTCAGAATGGTTTAAAAGTATCAGATGGATGTTGAAATCTCACATAAAGCAACTGAGGGGCAATTTGAAGACCGTCTATTCTTCTACCTTCAATACTTCAGTAGTGAAAAACAGATTACACAATCAATATGCACTGGTACCGGGTAACAACATAGTCTTTGTTTGTAAGGTTCATTATTTTAATTGTATTGTAGAGGAACTTGGATTTAATTCGCTATATGATAAACCAACTTATACTCATAGCTCCCTTTAAGAAAGAAATCCTTCAGAATTAGCCTATATGTCAGTTTAAAATATTTGCAATATTCTCAAAAATCAAAATGCACTTTAATTGCAATACCTATACTGGATTCCTGAACTAAATAAAAATCCTTACAAACAAATATACATAGCGGGTCCTGTAAATGTTCTACCAAGCCTCTTTCTTTATTACATTTTCAACAGTGAAATTTATTGAATAAAAGGGATATTCTATCACAGTGTAAAATGATACCAAAGTGATATTCTGTCACATTGTGAAAGGATATCATAGTAAGTAAAACATAAGTTCTGGCCTGTCATAAGATAGAGATAGTAACCATCTTGATAGAGATTAAAACTGCGAATTTCTTCACAAATATGTTGCTTAAGTCCTTATTACAATGTTTCCAATCTCACAATTGCTAAGCTATGAAGACTCAACCGATCAACTATGACGTCACAGCCTATGACACTGTGTTAAGAAAAGACAGAGGGAAAGGGAAATCAAAGAAAATGTAATAAACAGAAAATTCAATGTTTTGTAGTTGGATATGGAATTTATTTCACTCGTAAGACAAGATTTTTTTTTATATTTTAACTCGTGCTTCGCACTTCGAAGCATTGAATATCCTATATTTAATCCTCACTAAAATATTAACAGCAGTGAAGGAGAGACATCGATAGCATTGTCACTAATATGTCATGGACGATGCTAATGACTATGATTGTATTCAATGTTCATTTATATATCAAAATGCATACATATACCTCAATTCAATGTACAGTTTTTAAGACAAAATTGGAGTGGAAATAGATGATAAAAATAATCAAAGTACAATGATATTTAGGATTGTCCTGGTGCAGTTTTTCAAAGATATTAATTGAATTTAATACTTTTTGCATCCTTTGCTATGAAGTAATACTGATATATTGAAGAATTTTAAAATGATAACATTGCATTTGAATTTACATTTCCGTTTTGCAACCTATACATTTCATTATAATGTTTAGAAGGAAATTCCTGAAAGCCAAATGTCAGTTTTAAACATTTTTGATATTCCCAACAATTAAATTGAATTTGAATTACCATACCTATATTTGATTTTTAAATTAATAAAAATCATTACAAACAAAGATGTATACATGTAGTTCTAGTAATGTTCTACCAAGCCTCTTTCTTTACTCCTAGCAAAATTATCTACAGCACTGAAGGAGAATCTTCAAGAGCATTGTACAACAACATACTCAAGAATGGGTTTTAATTAGATGTGGACACTAAGAAAAAAATTAAAAATTTGAAATCACAAAATTTTAACAAAATCCACAGCATCAAAACGTACAACTTTCCAACGCTTTACACAACCATTCCCCACGATAAATTAAATGCCAGACTTTTTTGACATCATACATAACTGCTTTTTCAACAAAAATGGAGCTCTAGATTTCTTACCTTGTCACTGGTCATTTGCAAACTTATGTTTTATTAAATATTTTAATTCTACATGCTAGTTTTCCAAACTTATTATTAAAAAGATGCTCGAGTTTCTGATGACAATATCTTTGTAATTTTCGGAGACCAGGTATTCCAACAATCTGCTGGAATTCCCATGACTGCTAATTTTGCTTGTTACTAGCAGGTCTGTTCTGTATTCATATGAAGCAGAATTCATTCAAAACCTTCTACATGAAAAGAAGATCTTGCTGTTTAAGCTCGACTTTCAGATCTATCGACGACGTTTTATCATTAAACAATTTTTTCCTGTGTTAATTTGATACATTCCCCTGAACTCAAAATGAAAGACATCATAGAGTCTGACATATTTGTTTCATAATTTGATATTTTATTAGAGAAAGACATTGATGTCAAACTCAAAAATAAACTTTATGATAAATGTGATCACCAACTTTCCTATCGTCAGCTTCCCTTATTTGTGTTGCAGAATACCATTATCACCTGCATATGGAGTTAATGTCTCTCAGTTGATTTGAAAGCATGTTCTACGTGCGTACAATTTCTAAAACGATAAAAGCTATTGGCAAATAAGTTGAAGATCCTAGGATATCAGCAGTCCCGATTGAAGTCAACATTTCGCAAATTCTATGGTCGATACAATGACCTTGTTAGCAAATACAATCTATCTATTGACTGCCGAATTTCATTAAAACCATTAGGCCATTATTTTTTTACTGAATTGTCTTCGAATTTTTCCGTTTACGTGATCATGACAAGGAGCACATGGCGCATGTGTCTGGTGGACAGGAGATGCCTACTTCTTCATCCTACTGATCCCGCCTGTGATGTTTTAGAGGTTCAAACATCGTTTTTTCTTGTCCTAATTACTCTGAGGTCAGGAAAGAGTTTTCGATAAGTTTTGAGATTTAATAAAGTTCATATTGTTAACACACATACTTTACTCTGGGAGGTACTTCAATCAGTATTGCTAAAAATGAATATCTTTTTTCTATTGTACATTCTTATACAGAGCATTCTGGTAGATTTAATTGATTGTTCTTCTATATAGAATTGACTATAGACCAGAATATAGCAGTATAGATTTCTGTGTTGTGAGTTAATTTATTCTGGACAAATTGTTGGACACATCTATTTCATTTTGTTATATTACGTGTAGGGAAAGGGCGAATTAAGTTTTTAGAACTTGTGCCGAATATCATTGTATGTATTAATTGCAATAAAATATGTTTAAACCAGAGGTTCAGGTTTGCTCTGCTCACAATTTGTATTGTTTCAGTGGACTTTTGAGCTTGATTACGTTTCGCCATCTTCATATTTGCATATTTTATATCCTAAAACTTTTTTTTTTAAATTCATAGATTTTATCAAAATAACTTACAACAGTATTTTCAAGTGAGATTGCAAACTAAGTTTTAAGAATTTGTGCAGCATACCAAACTTTGTGTTTTATATTCATGGTCCTTTGGCGAGGGAATAGAAATCACACGCCGATTTGGATAAAATTCAAATTCAATCAAAAACAATGAAGATTCTTTTTCTCACATGTCGTGATTTTTTAAAATCAATTTCTCTTTCCCATCGGGTGTTTTATGCTGCATAAAAATGTCGGCGTTATTTCCCACTGAAAATAGTGCATTATGAAATAAAAACAAAATTGCTCTTCTAAACATAAGAACTGTTATTTCAGCGAGTATATTAATTATTTGAAATATGACTTTGATCTTTCATTTTTACAATACAGACACGTATTTTGGGTTTATATAACAACATAGTTTGTCACAGCGAGAAATATGAAAGTGAATTACCATTGGATAAAGGGGTAACATGTGACAAATTCTAGTCCTCATGGATAGTATGAATATTTAGAGATTACAAGAATGAAAGTGTATAGGACAATTTTGGCGTCACTCAGATGGTTAGCATTTGATGCTGACCTAAGGCTACTCATAGATCTCTCGTCTACCACGCATCTGGTACCGACGAAGTTGACGGCATTGATATCTGCTAAGCTGGACAACACAGTTTTCAATACTGCGTTATCAGCAGGAATGTTGTTCTGTGGGACACATGAGGTTGGAACTGCTGGGTCCATCAGCACACAGTCACGGTACACTATATCAGCATCCACACTGGCTACAACGGAAACACATGCAAGTTCAGACAAGTACTGGTTGTAATCATAAGATTAAACATATACCGTTAATACTGCGAGAACTGTATTATTTAATTGGGGGTAGATCCCACAAGCAAAAAGACGAAGAGATATAATGTTCTATTTTTTTTCTCCCATAACCACTATATGTTTCTCTAACACGTAGATAACACTTCTGATGATGTCACGTTGTGCTACTTTTGTTTATATTTCGTGCAGAAATAATTTACAGATATAGTTTCAAAGTATTAAAGATATACACGCTATAACTTGCGTCAGTTTAAAATAAAGTTGGATATTTATTTATTTTGTTTACCAAATAAAGTTACGAAAATATTTCAAATTACACAATTGGAAATGAACGCATTGTAAAGATCTCAAATTATAATTATTTATTATCCTACTAGGAAAGTAATGCTATATTTAAATTCATGCATCATGTGACACCGTCGCTACTTTTAGATTGATAAACAAAAATGGCGTCAAGAAAACGAGGTAGGCCGTTTGGTATATACGAAATAGCTTTTGACATGGATGGCATACGTTTTATGTTTAAAGATACTTATCTTTGAAAACAACCATTATTAACCATCTACTCTGTAATGACAGATATTAACTTTTATTCAAAATAGTAGTCAAAATGCAACGTACCTCGTTGTCTATGATTTCCCGTGGACATGCGTGTCTATATACTGTTTACGCACTTCCTTCATCAATATTCATGAATAGTCTGAATTCTTAATTGCAGATCTTGCTTAATTGTTTTGTAATTACAACGACTTATTTAGTAAAACTTTGTGGAAAGTAATTATTTTTTATTACACATCATGTTTCTCAAATCATTTAATCATTTTGTTTCACATAAAAAATCGCGTTTATATAGCGTGTATATCTTCAAGTAAAGGGAGGAAACGGTTCCATTAAGTGTTCTCGCTCATTAGTTACCCGTTTTCACCAACTCGAGTTCCTCAGCGTTTTTATTGTATTTAGTCACGAGCTCACATATATCAACAACTAAAAAGTTAGAGAACTTGAGTTGGAGAATAAATGCTAATCAACCTATATTGAAAAGTACATTTGTCAGATTACTCATACATGTATTTGAATAATTCCTCTCTTACTTTGTATTATGATTTTTAATGTAGAAAATTTACAACATAGCTTACAACAATTTGAAAATCATAGTCCCTACATTGTATTCACATTTCTTTGAAGCACTCAAAACAATTACTTACTTTTGAAGATTGTTAAGTCAATTTGAGCGATGATGGTGCCAGTGTACGTCCCACACTTGTATACTTGTCCAGAAGTGGGATTACTCGGACACTGCACCAAACTGACACCATTGGCTGTTTGTCCTGGAGGGGTGCTAGCACATTGAGGACTTTTGGGTATTACAATATTTTGGAGAAATGAAGGGACGTCTTTTATGACCACATGAGTACATTTAGAGCATTCCAATCCTGAATGTAACAAAAACACGATTTTATAAATAAAGCATATTAAAATACTTTATAAATCATTACAATGATACCTTCTCTCTAAATCTTTTTTTCTTTGGAATTAAACTGTTTAAAATCACATCATTCTGATTACCGCTACTTCTTTCAAGTTACAACTAATAGATAAATTATATAATGAATTAGGTAATTATGCACCGTACGATTCTAATGTATAATTTATTTTGGAGAACAGTTGAACCAAAATAGTTTTTATTTCAAGTATGGATTAGCTAAATTTATTCAGCTTAATTTGTTTAATTTGAAATATTTAATTCTAATAATTTAATTATATGTAATGGAAGTCGGCCACGTGGCGCAGTGGTTAGAGCGTCTGCTCTAGAGTCGCGGAGTAAGGAGTTGATCCTTACGTCGTGGGTTTGAATCCCACTGCGGGAAGTGGAGACCGGTCCTTCGGATGAGACTGTATAAACCGAGGTCCCATGTCGCAGTAGGTGTTGCCACGAAAAAGATCCCTCACTGCTCAATGGCCCTAAATGCCGAGTATAGGTATATATATATATATATATATATATATATATATATATATATATATATATATATATATATATATATACGTACGACACGTTGGAGTGAAAGTTGCGGGTCCGTAAAACACTTTGGTTGCTACTTCCAATCCGCAATACCATAAGATTACGAGTATATATAATGCAACTAATAATTAATCATAATTAATTGATAATAACCATTGTAATGTATTGATTTTTCTTTTTTATGTTTATATCACAAAGTCTCATAATTAAATTTTAACACAAGCTTTCTATGTTTTTAAAAAGATGTACACTTTAAGTGTTTATTAAGGCCCAGTACACCGACTCAGCTTGGATTAGACCCATTCAAATGGTCGCAGGTAATAGATTAATATCGGGTACATGTACTAGCGTCACGAAAAGAAAGGACAAATGCTTCCGTTTGATATCCTGTATCTAGATATCTAGATAAAATGTGCAGTAAATATAATATTTTAAGTCATTACTACTTAAATGTTTACTGTACGATTCAAAAATACGATGTATAATGGTGATAGCGATTAGCGTAGAGTAAATATTGTACATGCAGTCTGTGAAAGACAAGGAGTGACAACTTACAAAAAAAATTAAAATTCCAACGAGTACTCGACTATTGTTCGACTAAAGCCTCCAACTATTCGACTAAGATGTCCGAGTAAAATTGACATCCCTATATATATATATATATATATATATATATATATATATATATATATATATATATATATATATATATATATATATATATATATATATATATATATATATATATATATGATGTTGAAATAATCATACATATGTGTGACTATAAAGTGACATGAGAAGTCGAACATGGTCAAAGAAGCTCTCTCTCTCTCTCTCTCTCTCTCTCTCGGCCTTTTTCCCTTGCATGAATGATCTTTTTGGTTGATGTTCCAATGTCATCTTGTAATTTTTCAACTCGCTAACCAAGTGATTCTGTTCTTCTCCACTCGTCACAAACCTCTTGACTGCACAATGATATGTTACATCACCTAGTTTCCTATATTTCGGACTTACTGAGATACAAGACTGAATCTTAATGTAGATTTCGGGACAAGGATAAATATATGCCTTTGTTTCCTGAACTGTGTAAAGAATATATTTAGCCTTACAATATACGTAAGAAAAGGTTTTCAATCTCTTCTTTGTACCAAGAAGAGAGCAATCTATTAGTGTAAAGTACCATTTATGCAAAACCGCTATTATTGAGATGGCAGGACACAACAGACAAAATTTTTCACATTACAAATTTAAAAAAAATAGCAACAGGGTTCAACTGGTTACTACAGATCATTCCGTCCTTAAAATCCTAAGCGGTATTTTTAAAAAGAACCTGCCAATTCTTTATTCACACAAACGAATGACAGAAGTCTTTAAGGAACCGTCCTTGGCTGCGTACATGCGCCAGAACCAGATTAGACAACCCATTACCTAACAGAGTCTTGTTAACTTGTTCTGAAAGAAGATGTCCTCTCTGTAAGCACAGTTTTAACAATCCTTTTACACCCGCAGCCTCTGAATATTAAGGAATTGTCATTCCAAACAGACAATTGTATATATTTCATCGGCTGCAAACAATATGATGGGGGAAAGGGAGATCTCCGCAGAAGAATCAATACCTCCTTTTCGACCATTAAAACCAAGACAGTCAATGAACCAGTCGGGGGACATTTCATCCTCAAAGGTCCCAAATCGGAGGACATGGCATTGGGAGTTATGGACCATAAGCGAAAACAAACGAATGCCCAGAGAAAAAGCAAAGAAAAGTTTCAGATGCAAGAGGCTGAAGTCATTCCGCCCCAGTGGTATTAACCAATGACTCCACCAGTATGAACTTGTACTAGACAATATTCTTGATTTTGACAAAGAAGACTATTTTCTCTAGATAGTGTTAACTTGACAGTTACACACATTATCAATTCTAAATATAACCTTAATTATATTTATAGTCTTTTATATTTACATGTCGCCGAAATATGACTGAAAAACTGCTGACTGGGACTAAAACAATCAATCAATATTGTTTTTATTACTTTTTTATTTCTTTTATCCGATATTCTTCCTAATTCTGTTTTGAATTTTCCTTCTAGTATCGTTTTAATGTTTTATTTCTTCATTTATAGTTATGCTAAGTGAAGTAGGTGGAAAAAATGCTTGATTGCATGATTAACTACTTTGTCCTGATAATGAACTAGTTCAATTATGTAAATAACTATTTACCTGAGAACACCAGAGGGACTGCATGTATTTCATAAGGGTCCGGAACTATTTCATATTAACTGGTTGATCTTTTGGCATTCAAATTAAACATGTAAAATTAAGTAGTTTAGTGCTGGTTGATGTAGTTGTAGGGGTTTTTGTTTTCCATTTTTTATGTATTTACGACTTTCTAATCTTTTCTTTGTCCTGAGAAAGCAACAGGGCGTCCAAAAAAATATTGTTCGTTACTGTTGCCATTATTAGTGGTTTGTGTAAATTTCCATTCATGACCTTGCATCTATTAGGAGATATACAATGTTATTGGCTTTTTAGTGCTTATAAATCTGTGTGTGTGTGTGTGTGTGTGTGTGTGTGTTAAATTAGCCAACAGGAGTTAATAATAAGTCTTTCCACTTAATTATCAATGACTCTCACTAGGATCTTTGATCTAGTAAGCAAAAAAGAGATCCCCCCTTCCACCTAACCTGCTTCTTTGCAAAATTTCTGAACCACGAAGTATTCACAGAGACTGATATTTGTCACTGATCTGTCGTCTGTTTACCTAAATGTTACTTAGAAAATTAAAGTCTGAAACACATTTTACATACCGATTGCTGTGTCCAAGGCAGTGAACAGTACAATAGCCAAGGAAAATAAATCCATTTTAAAACCTGGAAATATGGATTAAAATAAACAAACATTCACCATAGTTACTCAGATAAGTTGTTTCTGTACACTTCTATGTTTATGATGATTCATTGTCACAATGAAGAAGTGTTTTCCGTATAAGGGCTACAGTATACGATGTGATTATCCACTGAGGTCAAAACTGCTTTATAAATAAAAGGATTCAGTGTAGCAGAACAGTGCTCTTTTTTTACTAATGATATGCAGGACGTTTCCTGGTATGGGGTAAAATGCTTCGAATACATTTTGTTAAGTACTTCTTCCTTACTTATTTACTTAGGACCTCTTTAGCTTTATATATTGCTATAAATCCACTAACCTTCGCCAGTGGGTATATCCGGTCTATGACAAACTGTTATATAACTTTCTGACTATTTATTCATTAAATATAACATAAAAACCTAAACAAGCAGGAGAGCGCAGGGGCATTGTCATTAAATATACTATAAAATATGGAGAAATGATGAGTTGCTATAGAACAGGGGACCCCCCCCCCCACTTTTTTCAATCCCTACTATTACTAATAATATATATGTAGTATGAAAATATTCACTGAAAGAGCGGTTGGTGTCCTCTCTTCCTGTTGCAACATAGTCAAATCTTCCGATGTGATTGTAAGTTTAAAAAAAAATTAGAAAGTAGCACCCCCTCCCAAAAGAAATAGAATTTTGAGTTTGGGCAAGTTTTTTTTTTTTTTTTTTTTTTTTTTTTGCTCGTTGCTCGTCAAAGATTTTGTAAGTTGTCATTTTTCCCCGGCTGTCCCTTCCCCTTTTTAAAAAAGTTGCTACGTGCCTGTATAAAAATACATTTTTTAATTATTTCTATTAAAAATGTGTTTCTCTCTGTTAAAATTTGATGATAGAACGAAGAATATTACTCAAGCTCTTTTTTGGACATTGAGAAAATTATAGTGTGTAAAGGTGTAAGTATTGAGCTTATCTATCACATTTTCAACATAGGGTGCCTTACATTTACCCCCAGGAAAAATGTTCAAAGACAATGAAGTACTGATGAACATAAATCACTGTTGTTTACTTAAATGAGCAAAATACCTGCAAGTGAAGTGTTCTATCTATTCATCTTGGCCTAGTGTTATGAATGCTTGATTTGATCACAAATTAAGTAATAAACTGTACATTTCAATTTATTTTATTCTTGACCAAAGGGCAGATCACTATCTGTATAAAAATACCACAAAATCAGAACTCTCTAGTATGCAGTGTATAGAGGGCTCTTAATTCGGCTACTTAAACATATATTAGCCTCAGTTTTAATTTTATTGTAACATTGAACATTTTTTTATGAAAAGAGTTGTTAAATTTCTGTATATTGGTGTTCGTATGTGAGATATATTTTAATCAAGCCTTTTTAAGGCTCATTGATACTCTGATAAGAGAGGAAACTCTTAATAACATAAATATCTAATCATTCCTTTATAATTGGCCTAGATGAAATGTCTTTTTTGTCCAATTTTGCCCCGCTATCTATGCTGTAATTCTTTGTATTTTACTTATAAAATACATTTCTTTTGGAAAATCATAAGATTTGTATGAGTGAGCAGAGGGTTTATGAACCTTTATTTCTTTTTATGTAAATTCAAAAATATAATGAAATTCGTTACATGTCTTAAAAAGATCACATTAAGTCCTTTGCTAGGAATGCCATCATAGCTATCTCCTAGTTTCAATAGGACGTTTAAAATTGTAAGAACTAAATCTGCATAGCTGAACATTTTCGAGGCAAGATAAGAGATATTTTTCTGGGTCAAGATTTTTCTTTATAAGTTCGATAGTTAAACTCTTAGATGAATTATAAACAGTGATCGATCTAAAAATAAATAAATAAATGAAAACCTATAAACAATACAAATCTGATAACAGGGAATAAAACACGAGTCGGGTACCTAGAAAGAGTAAATATCCCCTTTCGGCCAGTCACACCTGCCGTGAGCCCTGTCTATTTATCAGGTAGACGGAATATTCCGTGGTCAAATTTGGTACAACAGGAAGGCCTAACAATTATAATGGAATACGTCTGTCGAATACCGACCCAGCGATAGGTTATATTTGCTAATATTGTCATTATTACGACCATAGAATTCACGAAATGCTAGCTTTAAACAAAGTTGTTGAAATCCCTGTAACATCAACTTATCTAGCCTGTCTCGCTTTAACATTTGATCGTACTCAGAGCATGCTTGGAGTACAGTATCGAATAATCTCGGAGACTATTTTTTGAAAAAGAAGTTGTGTATGATATCAAAAAGCTTATGTTTTTGATTTATCGTGAGGAATGGTTGTATGAAGTGTAGAAAGTCATATGTTTTGATGTTGCTAACTTAAAAAAAAAGATTTTAAATTTTTAAAAGATCTTTGGAGTTTATGAGAATTCATACTCGATTTAACCACTTTTAGAATAAGCTGTGGCATAATACGTATGAAGTTTTTTTTTTCTCTACAACAGTGTTAAGTAATTTAAAGACTAAAATGTGATTTTGAAAAATTTCATCCTTAGAAAATGGACTGAGTGTACAAGTTCTTTATTTTCCGATCGTGAACATCTGAAAGGGCTCTGCTTTTAATTCTTTATTTCAAAATCTAAGCAGTGCCTGTTTACAATGACCAGTTATCCCGGGTATTTAGGATAGCCCGCAATATAATATAAGAAAAGGATCATGTTATTTATAATAAAAAAAAAATAAGACTTTTAACTGTTTCTCTAAAGCAATTTGTATTAAAATATTCTACCTGAAATCTAAATCGTTTTATAAATAATTGGTGATAAGAAAGAGTACTTCTAAAATACAGCAATGATAAAGAGTCTTACAAACAAGGACGATATTGTCACAAATACTGTATTGTCTTCCTTGTCTGCTGGAACCATAATATATTGTTCATGTGGAGAGACTGGGAGAATTGCAGAGAGTTTCTATTTCTTTTATCACCTCCGATTAGTGAAAACAGAAGGATGAATGGTTCGCATATTGCTATTTAACTTTCCAACATGACGATTCTTTAATACATTTCTAAAACACTTAATCCATTCTGAAAGTGTTCAAGTCTTCCCCTTCATATTTTGCACAATGCCTGGCATATTCTTCGAGAGAATTCATAATAGAAACAATAGCAGTGCTATAGAAACAATAGAAACAGTAATGAACTACCCGGTATATTTACAGTAATGACGTGTAGTGAAAGAAGAAGAGCAAGAACACTTCAGGATTTTGTTTTAGATGTTCAATATCTAGGCAACAATATAAAGATTGTTTATATTTGAAAAGTTTGGAAAAAAGACGTTAATGGTAACCTAACAGCAATACTTCATGATAAAAATGACGACTTCAATTTTTTTATCTTCAGCTTTCCTTAATTATGTAGCAATACGCCCTTTTCACCTGCGTATGGGGTTTGGATCTCCAAGTTGATTCGATACGCAAGAGCATGCTCCACTTACGAACAATATCTAAAAGGAGGCAAGATATTGAAACAACAAGTTGATGAAACAATGATATCAACTGTATCATTGAAAGTCATCATTTTGCAAATTCTATGGTCGATACAATGACCTTGTCAGCAAATACAATCTATCATTAAATAAAATGTTGACTGACGTTTATCTTACAAATTGTTAGGCCATTATTTAAACGCTGAATATTTGTCTACAGATTTGAAAAGACGACGGGTGTGACTGGTCGACAGCTTACTCCTCCATGACACCTGATCCCACCTCTGGTTTTTTAGAGGTCTGTTTGCTCTGCCCCCGATTTGAAAAGGACTTTTGAGCTTGATTGCTGTTCTTTGTCCCCATGTTTCATGTTCAATATCTAAGCACTATCTATAAGGACTGTTTATAATTGAAAGTTTGGCAGCAACATTTTGAGAATATCTGTAGGAAGTGCCTGTTGTAGACTTCCACTTGAAATATGGCGGAATGCAAGTCTTTACTCATTTATGATTAAGAATCATTTTCATGTGGCAGAATAAAGAGCCTGTGCTGGGCAACATACATAATCACAAACACTAGCTGCAGTTGAAGAATCCAAGTATGGAATTGCTTTAGCTTCAAATAGTCCATTAAAAAATTACAAGGGAAATATTTTTTTTTTCTTTCCATAGATATCCCAGAATTTTATTTAAAAAGGCAACAACATTTCATTGAAAAATTTTCAAAGGGCACAACCACTGAAGAGAAAATACAGCCAGTGAATTAATCTGTAACTAAACTCTGCAATTTGTTAAAAATAATATTGAAAACAAACGATCGTATTTACGTTGTGTAGAATATACCACAGTTGATAACTGGGAGTCCAAGGGGGGGGGGGGGGGTTAAGTTCAAAAACACAGGAATCTTTTATTTTTGCAAAGAAAACTACATCCATGATGATAGCATTTTTTTCTTTAAGAACATACCTGTATGTGTTACGCTCATAATTAAGTACATGCTTGAACCCTTGGAATGTTCAAAGCAGGAGAGAGATAATTTTTTTTTTCAATTTTCAAGGAAATATAGAACAGCTGTCATTTTTTATTCAAGTTTTCAGAGCTCCAGAGAAGGTGCGTATTTGCAGAAATATGCATTGAATTTTTCAAAATACGCATTAGAAATTAAATCAGGGCGTAGAATTACGCATTAGCAATCATAAATAAGCATTACATTATGAAAGTACTGCGTACGACGGATTGAATGATGCAAGTACGATTTAATTAATTATGTGAATTGAGGTCAGCTCAGTGTTTAAATTTTTATCGAAAGGAATTTTTTTGGCTTTCCACATGCTCCTGTGCTATAAATAGCGCCGCGCGACTTTTAATGCAAACGGAGACGATGGCAATATAGCAAAACCTAATATATATTTTTGATTAAAAAACAACAACGGGCGGGTCATTTTGAGAGTGGCAGGTTGGTATGAGAATCAAAATATTAATTTTATCTGGCCAAAGGAAGGATATTTTTCTCGGTAAACTCTTGCTACGATCGATATAGGCCTAATCTTAAATGGAGTTCTGTGTTCCCCTGGTAACTTTGCCTACCGTATGGTCTTTCTGGTGAAAGAAACAAAATGTTTCTCGGTTAAAGCTAAAAGCTGACAAAATTTTTAAAATTTCATTAACCTAATTGATTTATGCAGAAATTCCGTATTTTACATTCCTCTTTCAAAAACACTTATTTTGATAACAAGATAAAAATCACATTAGATGTCAAAAGAGCAATAGATTAACAAAATACTCTTTGATTATTCAGCTAAGAAGCAAAATCTGCATTGATTTGAAAATTAGGGAGTAAATACACTTTGAGGTAAAAAAAAATTATCTGGAGCTCTGGTTTTATTTTTCTATTAGTGATATTTCATCAATCTTCTATGATTAAGACAAATGGAAGTAGCAACAAAGAGTACTCTTCAAAGGTGCAAAAAGTAAAAAAAAACTTTCTAACGATTTTACCACAAGATTATAAAAATGGATATGTCTCCACAGGGAATTGGAAGTGATAACTGATGAAGAAAACAGGATTCTGCTACCACTGTAATAAATTTCATGCATGGTTCTTTGTATGAGCTCCACTAAATTAACGCACATTGTTCAATTAACTCATCTGCAAGGCTCGAGTGATATCTAGTAATAACTTGAAACTTTCATGAAACGTTGATGCTTGATATCACACTAAATGTATTTTGGTCTTTGAATTGTTACTTTTTTTATTTAATCCGATAAAAAAAAATATATTAATGTCACTTTATTGGCTTAATTTGGCTTTATTTTCATCTCCACATATTTTAATGAATAGTTTGTGCCCTTCCAAGGTTTCCATGTCACGCCATCATATTTTTTATCGTCAATTTTTCCATTTCTATAGTATTTTCCATTTAAATTACTCTGATAACACTTGTAAAACCACCAGGCGGCGTGGAATCTCTTTGCGCAACTTCCACCAAATTCTTTCACAACTTGATCATTGTCAACATCTCGGGTTGAGAACTTTTTATTGTTATGTTTAATCATTCCATCGCCTGCATCACCCTCGTAACCTCCAATGTGTAATTTATACCCATCATCTTCATCATCCACAACAAATGTGCTATATTCAGCGAATTTACTGTTTTTATCCCAGTCTGTCATCTCAATTCTAAGGGTGTAGTGATCCTGGTTTGTGAGTCGGTGTATGACGTTGTTTCCAAGCCAATGTTCTCCATACACACCTGTAAAATAATAATCAAAGAGTTAAAACACTACAACTACTTATATTTCTCTAGGGTTCGAATAAGGTCTTCTGTCATGGAATGGCAGACAAAATACAATTTTGATAATCAGGAATAATTTGATGTCAAAATGCCTTTGCAGTTTGTAAATTTATTATAAGATAAATTTTAAAAACTTCTATAGCTGTATTCACAGTTGTAAAGTTGTTTTTCCATACATCGGTAGAAACTTCTGGTCATAGACACTAGACTTAAATCAAAAATGAGTCACGACATTGATACCTTTCATTGATTTGAGAAATTTTTAATTGTGCATTGTGAATATTTATCTATGAAGACCTAAGTTTCTTTCAGCGTATATTAAAATTCTCGACGCCAAGTAACTCAGAGATTCAACTTTCTCCCAGAATATCCATGTTTGCACTAAGAAATTTCCGATGATGACTATACACAAAAGAAGTACCTCCAAATCCCTCTCTGTAATCCTCCCAGTCTCTATAGAAATTGGTGGTGCCATCCTGACGCTTCTGAATCAACGTCCAACCGCCTTTTTTCATGTCGCAATATACCTGAATCAGTCTGTTGGTACCGTAGGGTCGGATCTTATAGACACCATTTCTCGAATTTCCTTTGACATAGTAGTCGTAACAATCTGTAATAGAAGCATTTAAAATGTAATTACAAGTTACTGAACATGTAATGTCGGCATCAGTGAAATATACATAATCTGATGGAATATCGTTAAAAAATACAAACCCTTTGGATCACTTTGTCCATCTGCAACATACTTCACTGGCGTCTTAGACTCTTTAATACTTGCTATATCGCTTTCATGTTTTCTGTTTTCTATATTCGTACTTTTATTGCTGATCTCTTTATTCTTCAGGTTCTCTAATTCTTGCGCTTTGGTTTTATCACCAGTACTGTGTTCATTGTTTTCTTTCGTGTCTGAGCCGCTGATGTCACTTTCATTCCTACGACCTGTATCTGCACTCGGATTTTTTACGATAGAATTACGATGTAATTCGGTTTTCATTTTATTCATATCCTCTTCATTTTCTTTACCTAAATCCGATTCCAAATTATTCATAGGTTTTTGTATTTCTTGTTCTGTTGCCGTATCTTTTTCTTTGTTTTGCACATTTTTCGTTGTTAAAGTCTGTTTTACATCTATTTCTTCTATGGCCTTTTCTATAAACTTTAGAACATCCCCTTCTGTAGTTTCATTGTATTGATCCATACTGAGTCTAATATTTTCTTCCTTTTTTACACTCGTCCTATCGTCAGGATCTGGTAGTTGTACATTTTGTGAAGTTTCAGATTCTTTCCTTTCATTCGATTTCTTTTCATTTCTTTGAATGTTCTCTATACTTTCTGGTTCATTATCAGTTTCAGAATATTTCATCAAGCTTTCTGTTTCACAATTAGCAAATACCAAAGATGAGAACGGCACACACTCGGATATAATAATAAAGCCCTTGTAACAATGTGCGCTAGAGTTACACCATTCCTGAGGTTTGACAGACGAGGTGATTGAGTTGTAATGTAAATACTCCTTTAATTGTTCATCGACTTCATCGTCTTGGTCTTTTATTTGTCTAACAGAAGACGCATGTTCAATTGTTTCACCACTCTCTAGTTTTTTATCTGACACTAGATCGTCTAGTTGTTGAAGTAGCTGGTTTGAGAGATCTTCCAGATATGATTCCTTTGGGTTTGTGGCTGGTGGATCTACCAGCTGTTGGTTTGTCTGGCTGTTTTTTAATACTTTAACGTCTTCCAGACCAATTCTTAGCTTCAGCTTCATTTCTTCTGTTGCTTCGTGTTGTTGTAGGGTTCGTTCAGTAAGTGATTGTACTTTTGCCATTATCTGTGACATCAATACAGTTTGGTTCATGACCATTGCATGTAACATTCTATTTTGGTCATTTATATCCTCGGACCGATTCTTCAATTTATCTATCAAGTATGATTGGTTTTGTAAATTCTCTGACAGTTTCATAATCGTTTGCTGTTGCTCCGTCAGAAGTTGGTCTTGATTACGTTTTTGTAAAGAGTAGCTTTCAGAACTATGTCCAAGTTCTAGGTATTTCCGCTGTGCTCTCTTCATTTCATCATTCTCAATTTTCATATGATGGAAGCTTTGTTTCATTCTTAATAGCTCGTTCTCTAATCTGAGAATGCTATTCTCTAGTCTTGCTATAGTGCTGGAATGATTTTCTTTGTTCAATTTTTCCATTAACATCTGATTTTCAAGCTTTATTATATTCAATTCCAGGACAGTTATTTTCTTCGTATATTCTTCCGTTTTTAAAGACACTATATCTTCCAAAACCTTTATGTCAAATGTTTCCTGTGATTTATATTCATTGCTGGTTTCTTCATTTGACGACCTTTGTATAGTATCATTTGGCAAATCTTCGTTGTTATGTGACATTATCATATCTTCAGAATTTTCAGAGTAGCTCTCGTTTGGTATCAGTAATTCGTCGAAAGAATTGTCAATTTCTTCATTTAAAGTTTGATCTATTAACATCGCTTCATGCTCTGTAGACAACTCATTTATCTCGTTTGCATTTTCTTTTTCTGTTCCTGCTTCCAAGATTTCTTTGGTGTATCTATTTGTACTACCTGGAGTAAGTGGAGTATGCGAATTATCTGTTAAGTAATCTGTACGTTTCTCGAACTTGCCTGTTATATGTTTTGTCATATTATACATTATTGTGTCCTTTATCTGCAGTGAACAGTACGAGGGTGAGAGGGTGTATGATTCTCCGCAGTCGTATCCCAAATTTTTCTTGTTTGATTCATCCACTACTTCCTTTGGGGATATGTTCAAAACCATGTATTTTTGTAATTTCCAAGTATATCTCTTACATGTCTTCCCTTCCGTTGCTATATATTTAGTAATCTCTTTATTATTTCTCATGTATAAGGATCCGTTTGTGTTACTGAGTCCATTTGATTCTGTCTCGATTTTTTCTGAGTCAGATGTGTTTGTCTCTTGTTTGAGCATTTCTTCCTGCACCAATGATTTTCGAGTCCTGTCATCTGACCTGGTCTCGAATTTTTTGTACTGGATATCTTTGTGGTTTTCTGAGTCATCAAGATCTCCATCACTACTTCTTTCATCTTTTATTTCATCTAATTCTGTTTCATCAATCTCACTATCGTCTGCTAACATTTCGCTTTCTCTGTCTTTTTCCCGAGACATTTTTTCGGTTGCTTCGTCGTCAGATTTGAGTTCAGCAAGCTTCTCATATAGTGGATTTTTTAACTTGTTAGAGTCATTCTTCTGGGATGAAGTATTTTCTGTGGTTTTAATAGTTGTTAAATTGTCATCTGTCTGTGATTTTTCTGTCGTAGGTTTTGGCTCAGTAGCTTTGACAACTTTCCCTTTCTTCATTTCATTTTCGTAAATTTCCAAGATTTTACAGTCGATCAGTTTTACATTAAGTTTATTTTTACTGTGGACAACTAGGTTTTGGATTGTGCTGTGTATTTTTTTCTGTTGAGTATTCATTGAGCTGTCAAACAAACCTTCTGCAGACACCTTGGTGTACCATGTACTGATGTCACACTTTCCTGCTTCTATCACATTTCTGTAAAATATAGCACGAAATACGTAGGTCAAAATTCTGAACGCCCCATTAGAATAAACTACTAAATATATAATATAAAATATTATATGTGCATTTATCAAAGTCGCCAAGAACAATATTTAATGAAAAAATATTGTGTGTTATATATTTAAAATAATGTTAAGTGATTTAAAAACATACAGATATTCGTAATATTCAAAATTTGTGATTGACTTTATAGGTGTACATAATACAACAAAGCAGAGTTTCATCCTAAATGGTCTGTAGTATACATAAAAGTGTGAAATACTTGTTGTTTTCATATTGATTTAAATAATTCTTCACATATTTCAAGCATAGGAAGGTATTCCTTTATTACTAAATCCATATACAGAAGTGTCACATATATTTTTTTTTCAATTGTCATAATTTGCTCGCCAAATGGTGAGTGAAAACGTATATAAAAAATATCCCATTTGTAGGTGATTATTAACGTCTTCAAATAAAAAATACATGTATCTTAGTTATACGATTGATATCTCTAAATTCTTACCCTTTAATTCCATGCATTAGGCAGATAATAATCTGGGTCGTGAGAATACATAGAATTATCCCAGTACCCCTACTGGTCGACATTGCTTGAACAATTATAATGAACCACTAAGTTTGTTATGAAGTAAGAAGGCTACGAAGAATCTTAGTCTTCGTCATTGTTGCAACGTGTCCATGTCATCGACGTGGCGAACACAGTCCGGTTTCCTTTGAAAGGTTTTGTAAATCGACTTACTCAATAAACAAACGCACAATATTACTATACTGTGTATTAAGATTCATTGATCAAAGGTGTCACAGCTTGGCAGTGGTGTTTTCCCGCGCAAAAATGATAGTCAGCACACGGAGTTATTCTCCTATTCTCCAATATTTTAGCTGATTCCCAAAGTATAGTCTCCGTAAGCTTTAAATAATGCACATGCTTTAGGGACCATTTTTATTTTCTGCCAGTCATATAAGCCATTGATGGTTGTTTATTATCATTAAAAAACAACATTCATTTGTCGTAACTTCAACAACTGTCTTAGAAGAGAATCACATTTTATAGCAGGAATCGTGTATTTACGATATTATTCGTAATGTAAATATGAAACAAAAACTTCCTTTGCTTTTAAAAGTTTGTATTTTGATGCTTGTTTGATCTGTTAGTGTATCATCAACTTAAAAATGGTTGAATTGAACATTTTTATTGACAAAGTCAAAAAGATAAGACTTACATGTATGCAGATAGTCTTCTCATACATAATTTTAAAATAATAATAATAATACAAGTAATAATATAATTGTATGGTCTTTAAAAAATACATTAGTAGTGTCAAAAACTGAAATTTCATGATATGCAAAATATCATTCTTTAAAAAACTAAGATTTTCAAAGAAAATCTACCACATTCGCTTAAAAGAGCTTCAATAACTTTAAAAAGTTCTACATTTTGTCGAGCAGAGAATGAATCAACAATCCTGCCATCAAATGCACATCCATAATGTACAACTGATTGAATGATCATAATTGTTCATCAGAGAATGTCTTGCTGTTGCACATTTTTTTTTTTTTTACAAACAAAAAACATCTAAGTTATAGTTCACATGAACGATTTGGGCTGGCTTTTATAAGTCAGAGTTTAAAATACAATCATATCTCAACCTTGTGTGAATTATATTCAGAAATCTGATTTTCTTCATGAAAAAATAGTTTGCCTCCCTTGTGACAATTTCTGAAAAAGGGCATATTTATCAAGATTGTATTCATCAGAATACTTTAACTAAGTTAGCTTAGCGCTTTTCAGTACTGTCAGTACTTTGATTTATTAACTTTTACGGATACATGGAGTTTTTTTTTTTTTTTTTTAAAAAAGAGAATCCATTGTTTATCAGTTGGCTTTATAGTTGCAGTTTTTTTTTTCTGGTATGCATTGGTGAATGATAGAATTAAACTTTTTTCTGTGAATTTTTTTTTTGGTAGTAGTTTCTATGTTTTCTGTATCATTAATGATTCCTAGTCACGTAGGATGGGATGGGTTTATTTAGGAGTTCTAAGTATGCATGCTTGTATTCCCATACTTTGCGTTTGTATGCAAAGTATTTTAACAATTTAATTTGAACCGTTAAGTGTTTGTTAATGAAATCGATTTTTTTAAAGAAAGAATGCATGGGTAAAATAACAATGATGTACATTTTAAATGTATTGGTAATTGAGGTACTAGTGTCTTTTATTAATTTTCAATCTAAAGTTGAAAATAATTACAACTTTAGATTGAAAATTAATAAAAGACACTAGTATTATGATAACGTAAGTAAGTCAACCCCTATACAAGAAGCTTTTTTCTTAATTCTCGCACCTGGATTATTAATACAGCAATTAAATTGGAGTATGATTAACATTTATAGGCAGTGATCTAATGACACAATCAAAAGCAAAAATATGGAGAGACAAGATTCAGACAGCTTAGAAATATTCGTCGGAGAAGAAGGAATTTGTGGGGTTTTATTATTAAATTTTATTATTAAATATTTATATGTGCATTGCTTTACAAAAAAATGTGTCATGTAATTGTAATTATTGACGAAGTAGATATGGTCTGGGATTTTGGTTGAGCTTTTCAATAAAGCTCTCATAAGCAGTTAAAGCAACTGATTAATTAGATGGTGGAAAGGGGGAAGAGTGGCCTCCATAAATTAAATGTTTACTATTGGTTAAATCATAGCTTTTTTCAATGTAGTCCTTTGTACAATAATAAAGAAAAGAAAATTCATAAAATTCCATAATATGAATATAGAATCAAATAATGAAACATTTTGGGGATATTGTTTTTATTTTGAGTATTATCAGATTCGAAAATCTTGTTCGAGTAAAAGGAAAATAATTTCTTTCAAATAAAAAGTTTTTGTTTTTATTATATTGGTCAAATCATAGATTCTTCTTTCCTTTTACAAATGTGTTTATGCTATTTTCTAATTGTTATAGTAAATGAATTCGATGTGTAATATCTTAATTATGTTATAAGGTAAATAAACTATAGTCTATCACAATCACATAAATTTCTTAGTGTAAATTCAGCTTTCTAACTGCACTCATTTCGATGGAGATTAACAAAACACAGCATGCAGTATGAGATTCAAATTGTGATTTTTAAATACACTTTCATACTTCAGTTAAATGACATATGAGTTTTTTTCAATTCACTTTTTTCTGGTCTTTTACACAGGCTTATCTATGGCATATAAATTTAGAATATGTAATTGATGTGTTCGGGACCGGAAATGTTAAAAAAAAAAAATCTTGTAGCGGCCGAGCAGGTTCGAACGCAGATGGCTGACGACTGAAAACCTCAGTTACTAGATCACGTATCTAGAGTTCAAAAGATCCTGCCGGCTTCTAGTCCTGGTCTGGTCTGTCACATTTTCTTTCTGTTACACACTCGAGGAAAGAGAGCTCTTCCCCCCTTTCGTAGCTCACGGGTGTATCTCATTGGATTCCTTCAACTGTTCAAAAGGCTAATGTATTTTTATAGGAGAGATGCCAGGCACACTATATTGAGTTGCGTGGCGAAAACTTTCACTGACATATTACACACACACAAATTAATTTAAATATATGCCTTACCATTATCTGCCGTTTAAAAAGGATTGAAACTACTTATTACACACAGCCTTACCATTTGAAGATAAAGAAAGGAAATTAATTTTGTTTCATACAGAATAATCGTATTTTTATTTTTAAGCTCAGATTCGCCATATTTATTTATTTATTTATTTATTTATTTATTTATTTATTTATTTATTTATTTATTTATTTATTTATTTATTTATTTATTTATTTATTTATTTATTTATATTTATTTATTTATTTACTTGTTTGTTTGTTTGTTTATCAATCTACCTTTTTGTTTTATTTTATTTCTTTGAAAATAACAAAGTGTTTTGATCCGCCTATGGTGTGTCTATAATTGTAAAAATAGAAGCAGTGTGGTTTTCCAATACACATGCGCATTGCCATTTTTTCCGACACAAACTTCCGCTACGCGCACTTTGAATGTTTGGGAAATGAGGTGAATATTTTGATACGATATGATGAAAATGCCTGTCTTGGAGAACGGGAAAACAGAAACAGAGGAAGAAGAAATGGAACAAGAAACCCCGGGAAGCAATAATAGTTCTGATGATGACTCAGAAATGGGTTCAGAGGAGGAAGATGGTTCAGGTAAAATTTGTAGAGGAAGACGGGGAATCCCTTCTAGACATTCCATAAATCGTTGTATAGATTAATATAGCATGTCTGTATATAATTTTGGTCATTCAGGTGAAGAAATTCACGCATTTGTTTATATTTGAGATAACGATTATTAGAAATGAGGGCTTCTTATTTCGAATTTTCTCAGCAAATTGTGATGTCGAACCCGATTCCACTATGCAGCAATCAGCAATACACACATCACAATAACACAAATATTGATGAAATGTTATCAGTACTGATAGGGTTACTATTCATTTGATGTCGGTTTTGTTACTTTGTAACATTCAATAAAAATATAATATTAAATGTTGCTGAATTAGTCAAACAAACATGTATTTGATTTATACTTATCTTTTATTCTAGGTCTGGTACAGTCAGTAGATTTAGCTACATAGCTTGAAATGCCTACTGTACATAACTTTATTTACCAACCTGAAGTAGCTTTATTTAGCTACTACGTCCTACTTATTTCTTAAATAAGAATATTTTCAGGATGTGCAAAAAATCACACTTTGTTGCAGTGATAATTTTCAACTTTGAACTGATCTGAAAACAATTCATGTAAAAATCCCGCTTGAAGATGTGTCTCTTTCAGCACAATTGCAATCAAAGTTCAAAAAGATTTGGGGCTATATACAACAGTTAATTTGTGACCTAACAGTTACTTGTTGAATGAAATATCAAAGAAGACCAGTTCTGGTTAACATGATAATTGATTGGACTATAATAGTTCAGCACAATAGGATAAATGAGAGGCATATACATATGTACAAAATATAGCAATAAACATACAATGAGAAAAGAAAAGAATGGGATGATGACATATAAATTGTGGAGGACAGACAGTGTCGTTTATTTTAGATATGAATAAACAAAGGTTTTTTTAAAGATTTTTTTTTTTCAAAACTAGCAATGTTTAAACAATATTTGCCTAGGATTCCTTTTTTAAAACTCCCTACTATGAATATTAGTAGTCATATACTTGCGATTTTTTTTGTCTGTTTTAAATAAAAACCAAAATTGTGAAAAGTTGCATTGAAATAGCTAAGTAAAGCTACTTCAAGTAGCTAAAGAAAGCTATGGTAGGTAATTCAAGTTATTTGGCTAGTACTAGACCTGTTTACTGTTAAAAAAAATATGTGAACAAGCATTCCTACAGTATAAACTTAAATATATTCATTGCATTTTTCAAAATAAATAAATAAATATTACAGAACTTGATGAAGAAGAATGTGAAAGAAGAAAAACAGAGTGCCTAGATGATATGGCAGATTTAGAAAAACAGTTCTCAGATTTAAAAGAAGTGTAAGTTTTCTTAGTTTTCTTAGTTTTTTGTGTTTGTTTGTTTGTTTGTTTTTTGTTTTTTTTTTGTGACAAACTGTCTTTCATAAGTTGAGCATTGCTGAAATATTGGTAATGATTGCAACTTCTCACAACTGTGGACTGAAATCTGGAGATACTAATTTCAGCACAATTTTGAACCATATGCAGTTGATGGTAAACATTACATTCTTCTTTAAATGTAATTCATTTAGATTTCTCAATTTGGCACAATTTTTTTTTTAGGTTGAAGAAAATTTATTCTTCAGTCAAAGAGTTTTCCATAATCTCTGGTTTAAACACAGTAATGTAGATTATAAGAAATAAAACTAATTTTCTGCAGTCAAATTCAGCAATCATTGCTTAAATCAGCTATATCATAGATAAGCATGGAAGACTTAATCTGGTATATGAAAAGACAAAAATATATATTCTCTTTTCTTCTAATACAAATGCAATTATATAAAATGCTGTTTGAAAAATTTAGAGCATTTCCTTAAATGTGATAAGGGGTAAGTTGTCACTTGACATGTACAAGAGATCTTTTAATAATGACCCTTTTCATTGGGCCTGAGCTTTTTTAAGGTATGTACTTATTGCAGGCTATACAAGGAGAGAATGGGTCAGATTGAACATAAACTAGAGGAAGTCCGAGCAGGCAGGGCTCTGGAATACCTCAGTCCTCTAGCACAGTTACAGGAAAACATGAGAATTAGAACAGAAGTAGCAGGTGAAAGTTCAGATTTAATATTTTTTTGCACTGATTTTAGATGAAGAATAACTTATAATAAACAACATGTTCTGAAGTTTGTGTTCTGAATATTTAGACAAATAGACAAAGGCATTGTGTTCTGAATATTTAGACAAATAGACAAAGGCATTGAAACTTAGCAAGTGGCTGAATATAAATAGATAGCCTGATTTTAGTGGTACATTAATATTTACATGTATATATAGTACACATGATTCATGAAGTATTTCCTGTCAAACATTACATAAAAAAATGGTGAATGACCGAAGAACAATACAAATAAGTTTGTGTGTGTTTCTGTCATTTTTGTTATTGTATGTTTTCTATTCATTTTTCAGGTAGTAAAATAAAGTGAATTTTATATATTTTTTACAGGAATCTTAAGAGAATTCAGGATAGACAGCATTCAGAATAAATTTGAAAGTGAAGTTTTAGCTGCACAGCAAAATTTAGAGGTAATGGGTTTGTAAATGAATGATATTCTCTTTCAAAACTTATTTATTGCATTATTTACTTACTGTTAGACATTAATTATTTGATGCAGCTAGTTGTATAAAATGGACTTAATATTAACTTTATAGTAATTGATAATTTTTTAATACATTCTAAACTTTAAAAATATGGTAAATCTGCTTGTATCATTCATTGTACTTCCTTTGAATCAAACATTTAATTCGGAAAGTATTAGATTTTGTTTCTTTCACATTTTAGAGTGAAAAGGAACTTTTATATGATAGTGTCAAAGGTGAACTTGAGGATCGAATTCGTCGTCTAGAGGAAGACAGACATAATATAGATATATCATCTGGTATGAGAATATAAGACAAATTTTAAAGAGTGGTATTTAGTATTTATATCCTTGTTGGTCAGTGCAAATTTGTTATGATCAAGACTAAAAACAACATTTTTCAAAATAAAAAAAAATTATACACATCAAATTCATCCACTTTATAATAGTCAAAAATCAAAGTACAATGTACATAAGCTTCAAATTGCTTTGACATTTATATAACTTTTTTTCATTCCATAGATCTCTGGGATGAAACACAGACAATGAGTAAGAGTAAAAAGAAAATAGATGGTTCATCTTCAGAACGAAGGAAAAAACCTGTATCTGTGTCAGGTATAAGATACAGATTCTAATATTAATCATACTATATAAGTAACATTTCAATGTTAGACTTTCTAAGCAGTATTTAATTCTTAATTTTAGCACTACTGGTTAATAATCTTATCTAGTCTTCTATCTATTGTAGATTATGTTTACAATGTACTTGTGAGCATTAATGTACTACTGTTGAGATTAAATAATGTCTGAAGATTATATTCCTATGATTTTTTTTTGTTTTATTTAGGACCATATATAGTATACATGTTAAAGGATGTAGAAATTATAGAGGACTGGACAGCAATTAAAAAGGTATGACAATATGATACATATATATCACACATTTCTTTCAAAATATGTTAAGTGAAGAAAATTCATGTATAAATCAGAAAACTGTAAATAGATTTTAAGGGTAACATATATTTCATTTTCATTTTATTAATTTTCTTACAAGGCACTCAAACAGAAAAGAAAGTCTGAGTATGACTTCTGCTGAAGCTGGAACTTCCAAATGTGCAATGTTTATGTGAGTATGAAAATATATGATAAATACAATTCCCACGATAGCTTGAATTTTGGAAGGCTACTGAAAAACAAGCTTTAGCTTTTTATTGTAAAAGAAACCTGCATTGACTTATTCTTTAGATATTATTTGACTTTCCCTTGTTATCACATGGTCTATAAAATACTGTATATATGTAGTGTGTTAAGCAGGTGTAAAAATTTGGCATATTGCTTGCTCCAAGGTGTGCCAATAATTTTAGCAGAACTTCTTTGGAGGACACTGTCACAGTGTTTTATGAAGTTACAAACTGAAATACACAATTCGGTTCTGCTTAATAGAAGTGTACTTCAGATATCTTATGTGGATATATTTTCCAGATGAGTCTCTGTTACCTTTGTACATTTAAATACTGATTTACACAATAGTTCAGAAAAATTCATGTATAATGTTTGATAACACACTGATCAAAGTTTTATATTGTTCCTTTATTTGGGACATATGCAAGGGTGCAGATTTAGTGATTGAAATTTTAGCAGGCTACTACCAAATTGCTAAAATATAAAGCCAAATTTAGCCCCCGTTAAAAAAATTCCACAGTACAGCATATAGAAAAACGTCTCCAGCATGTCACCAACAAGGAAGACTTAAGACTATTGATGGATTTGTTCTATTGATTTAAACACCTTTGTCTGATTTATAATCTGACACTCAAAATTAAACAGGGCTCTCAAATCTCTATAATTAGGGCCCTGCTCTGCGGGCACCCTATAGTGATCAGTCTGTCCATCCGTCCATCTGTCCATCCGATATCTCTTGTCCAGAGCATATCTTCTCTCTCCTTGGCCCAATCTGGTTCATACTTCACCCACAGAGTGTCTTTGGGTAAAGGGTGTGCAGTGACCTTGAACCATGTTTCTAGGTCTAAGGTTAAGGTCATAACAGAATTACATGTATATGAAAAATCCTTGTCTGGAGCATATCTTCTCTCTCCTTGGTCCAGTGTGGTTCATACTTCACTCACAGAGTGCCACTGGTCAATGGATGTGCAGTGACCTTGAACAAAGTTTGTAGGTCAAGGTTCAAGGTCAAAAATAGCCTCTCTGTTTAAATTCTTGTCCGGAGCATATTTTCTATCTCCTTGGCCCAATCTGGCTCATACTTCACCCACAGAGTGCCTTTGGGTAAAGGATGTGCAGTGACCTTGAACCATGTTTCTAGGTCTATGGTTAAGGTCATAGCAGAATTATATGAAAAATTCTCTCCGGAGCATATCTTCTCTGCCCTTGGTCCTATGTGGCTTATACTTCACTCATAGAGTGCCACTGGTCAATGGATGTGCAGTGACCTTGATTTTTATGTCAAGGGTCAAGGTCAAAAATAGGCTACCTTACATTTTCATGTTCGTTGCTGAAAGCGGGGCCCTTTGAGGTGGCCACCATATCAATGATATCTAGTTGGGGCTGTTCAAAGGCCTCATTCGCATTTCAAAAAAAGGTACTCTTTTTCACAATTGAATGTGTTACATGTAATTTTCCCAATTATAGTCATTTCCCCCAGAAAATTAAAGAGTATTTGAAAGATATGTATTTACTTAATTTGTTATTCATATACCTCTATATTGCAAAACAGAAGTTACATTTATAACAAACACCTGAAACCCAATATGTAATGATTCATTTTCACAAAATTCCCAAAAAAGGTCACTAATTTTCCCAGTTTTCATGGCTCTGGCCTCAGTCCCAAAAAGTAGCATGAGAGCCCTGTTAAATCTTATGTATAGGTATAGGTACAAATCTAACTAAAGCATGGTAATTTCAGGTGGTGCTTTTAAAGCAGACAGTCACTGCCAGCTGTCCAAATCCATAGCCTCAGTGCTCAAGTGTCAAGGACATCTCCCAGACAACACAAGACTTGTGCTAGCCAGTTCAATTGTTAAGCAGCTAGCCATGCAAAACCTGTGCAATTATTGTGTGGGTGAAGAATCTTGTGGATTCTATCCATGTTTTTGGCAAGCTACACTATGTTGTTTTCATGAATGTGAAAGGTTCCGTTTTCTGTTAAACTAATGTAGATTGTGCATGCCAAAATAAACTATTAATGCAATACAGTAGGAAACACAAATTTGTACACTTGAAAAATATAGATTCTGTTTAGATTTTCATTAAAATAAAATGTTTTATAATCTGTTTGAATACCCCCACTTTTCAAGCAGGAGGGGGTTTATAGTGATGGGGTGTCTGTCCGTACGTCTGTAACATTTGGAGGTACCAATCTCTTATCCTCAACTCATGCTATATCACTGAATAAAATTTAATGAGACTTTCACAGAATCTTGATTACATAGAGCCATTTTGCAGCTCCTATTTTATTTTTTGCTCATAGATATTTGGGGTTTCCTATAGCAAAACATGGACACTTCTACTCTTCCTATAATATTGGGGATACCCAACTCTTATCTGCAATTTCTGCAATACCACAGAACAAAATTTAATCAGACTTTCACAGAATCTTTAATAAATAGTGCCATTGTGCAGATCCTATTTTATTTTTGGGTCAGACAGATATCTGAGGTTTCCCATAGCAGAACATGGACACTGACAATCTCTTTATAACATTGGGGGGTACCCATCTCTTATCTGCAACTTCTCCTATACCACAGTAACCACTGAATAAAATTGAATGAGACTTTCACATAATCTCTTTTACATAGTGCTATTGTACTCCTCTTATTTTTCATTTCCATTGGACATCTATTTGGGGTTTCCTATAGCAAAACACTGACTTTGCCATTACATTCATGTGGGAATGGGGTGAATCATTTTGTGAGTTCAGTGCTCACAGTACCTCTATTATTTTTTTTTTTAAGAAGAAGAAGTTGTTTATATTCAGTATATGTTTTTCTCATAAAAAGTTTCAAAGGGAAAAAATACCATGTTACATAATACATATATTTTCACTTTGAAGTACATCTATGTTAAGATAGAGATTGACAAGCTACATGTAATTATCCATTGTTTATGACAACCTGTTTATAGTATCTTGGATATTTTTACAGCAATTCCTTATGTTATTTGAAAATGTTTAGCATTATGGAAATTTTTATTACATAGTTGATCTAAAAATGTTTCAATGTATCCACATTATTTAATTCTTAATTACATGCACTGTAAAAACAGAGTTGTTATGAATGAGTTAATAATGATGCTGCATTCAGTTGTTATGCCTGAGTAAATGTAGTGCTGTTTTTTTTCTCTAATGATTGAAATGTTTATATCTGTCCAAGAAACCTATATCTGTACAGTTACATACACATGTATTATTTATTTTTGGTGTATAAATGTATAGGTCATTGATGATATTCTTCAGTTGTTTGTCTGTATATTGTTTATGAACAGATTCAGTGAACAAAATTAGTCTACTTATATCTGCATTATAGTATTGGCATCATGCATTTTGTACATATTGTAGATGAGAGGTTGTAAGTATGTAAATAAAGAAACAGTTTTATAAGCATCTACATGTAATTATTGATTTGTTGGAGAACAAACAATTTTTTTAGGGGGGGGGGGGGTTGGTAAGGGAAAAAAAAAGAATAGTTATTTCTCTATTGAAAAGATGCTTTAAAAGTACATGTAGATATTGGGTGCATTCACAATTCTTCCATTAGTTGATATCGGTGGTGCAATTTACCATTGGCAAAACATTGGTACCAATGTTTACCATTAGTAACTTTTACTGGTTACCAATTCTGCAGGCCAACCACATTCACGGCAGAATTACCAACAAGCAAATTTTTCGTTTATTAGAGTTACCAACAAGATGGCTACCGGGACCGTTCCTGGTAGTGCAGGTGAAGTTTCCTCATAAATAATACCACTTAGATGAATTTAACAGCTATTTAAGGGAGAATATTCTTAACTTTACATAGTGTTGCACATTTGGTACAAATGAACGTTCTTTTGGCAAAAGAATATCTCATGGAGACATGTTCATATAAGGTTATGTCCATAGGAATAATTTCACTCTGTTTAAGCAGTGCAACAAACAGACTTCTTATTGAATTTGTTACTTCTGAAAAAATGGTGAAAAACTAAACATTTGCCGCCAGTAACCATTGATTACCATTGGTGATCATAGGTAACAAAGTGGTACCATTGGTCACCTTAGGCAACGTTGGTATAGCCTTTGGCTGTTTTGTCTTTGGTTTACCAATATTCCGTTCATAGTTTTAAGGCAACCAATTGTACCATTGTTTAACATTGATGCCAAAGACAGCCAATGGCAAAATCAATATTTGTACTAATGGAAAAATTTTGAGTGAACCCATTAACAAAGAATGTTGACCTTTAAATTTCTAGATCACTGTTACTATGTGTATATACAAATCAACAAATGATTACACACAACTATCCACTTGGGCTACTGTAGTATTTTAATCTTTCCATTAAGTACATATATATTGATTACAGGATTTTTTTTTTTTAAGTGCACTATGTTCATATACTGGAAATTTTCAGACTTGTTCTTTGAAATTATGTGTAAAATGATAATATCAAAGAAATATGTCAAAATGGTTCCAGAGCATGTTTGTGCTCTATAAAAAATTAGGTTAAAATTGAATAAAATTTGTGCATTTGAAATTTCAATAGTTCGTGACAGAGTGATAAAAATTCTAATATTTTTCCCCAATCAATAATATTTGTTAATTCAGATTTATTTTATACAATTTATATTCATTTGACAATTGTGCACATTTCAAGATATTTTCAAAATTCACTTTTATGGGGGGCAGGGATATGCCTTTACTGTTTATAGTTCTTTGTACACACCTTATTCAGCATATAAAGATGTGCACCTGGTATTTTCATCATGATTGGACAATTGTCTTCATTTTACAGGTGTTTTTTTTTTTATGGACTTAGTCATTTGTTTTAGATTTTTACTGTCTCAGGGTTCAAAGATGTGTGAAGTCAGTCAACATATCAATCTCAATAGCTCAGTGGTTAGAGCACTGGTACAGTATGCTTGGATATCCTTGGATTCAAGTCCCTGTTGAGACTTGAATTTTCACCACCAGTGACATACTGAAAGGTCTAGAATCAATAAATTTTGTCAGCTGATGCATCTTGGTTAGTTGTGTGGCACATTAAAGTTAGGTCACTGTAATCTTTAAAATGATATAGCCAAATTTGGCAAACCCCTGTCAAGCACATAACTGGAAAATTATGTTGCTTAGAATCTTTAAACTTGGTTGCACCCAACTTTAAGGTCACTGTTACCTTAAATTATAGCTCATTAAAATGATATTGCCAAATATGTCAAAAGCCTTTTTTGGGCTTATGTAGGTTTGAGACCTAGAATCAAGAAACTTTGATAGTTGGTTCATCTGTAAAGACATGTGAATTGCAGCTTAAAACAGGTCATAAAAACTTTTTTAAAAATGACAGTGGATTAAAACAAAACCTTTAGTTTTAAGGGAGGTAATTCTTACAAATGAAGAGTAACCTTATTACAAAATGCACCAAGACGGGAATACACTTTTTTTTTTCATGATATCAGACCTGTTTACTCTTACGATTTCGCTGTATTTTGTAGGGATTTTCAGTCCAAAATACGTCTCACGTTTTGCTATAATGAAAATACGGAAATCCGTTCATATGGATTTTAGCAATAAGTTCTCGTTATCTGTCTCAGTTTGACGTTTTTAAATCGCTAAAAAAGAGAAAAATTTCAAACATTTAAGTTCCAAAACGCGGTGGTTTAAAAAATGACAGAAATCACTCAAAAGAAAGCAGGGTATGATGTTTTGCTTTGTTATTAAACCATGATTTGTTAATCAGAAATGTAGTTGTTTTCTAGTAAGATATGTACAGTTGATGAAAAGTGAAATCTTACGGGCAAATGCCAAATCTCACTGACAAATCTAATAAAAAATACTGAGAGACAACAACTTGGGTAAACAGGTCTGTGATATACATCTTTATTTTTTTCATGATGCACATCTTTATAACAAAGAAGGTACACTTTGGGCTTTTTTGTTTCAAAAGTTATGGAATTGGCTTAAATATGAGTTGAGTATATGAATGTGATAAATCATGAAAGAATACAGCATGAAGGAGGACCATTCAGGAAATATGGCATCACTGATTTGGTACATTTATAAGTTTTTAACAGAAAAAGCCCCAAAATGACTCATTTCTGTGGTTATTTTCCTTAAAGGGTGTCCACAGTCATCGCCCACTGCAATTTTTGGATATGTGTAAAATCCTTTGAAAAATTATATTTCTGAAAATCTTCATGGGCAATGCATGTGCTTTATATTATCTGAGAGAAAATTTCACTGAAAATTGATGTCTTCTGCAACTTTTTAAGAAAATACAGGAAAATGCAAAAGTTCATGATGTCACAGTTAGCATTTTGGAAGTCATGTGAGAAAAACGATACGTATGTTCTTACTGTGTAAAATTTCAACGACTCGGAAAGCATGAGTTTTAATTTCTGAATCTCGCATCACCTTCATATTTTTGAAAAATACTAGGCAAGATTTGTATTGAAACCATACTTTGTTTTTTTAAATTATAATGACATAAATTTGCAATTATATTGTACTACAAAAATGCAGACTTAAAAGTGCATCACACAGCAGATAGTGAAAACCCACATTTCCATGGCAGTAATTATCTCCTGGGAATAGGGCAGAAGAATTAAGGGTGAATTTAAAAAAAAATGACCACCAAACTGAAATTTTTTGGAAGAAGTCAACTACTTATAACATATTTTTCACTTATATCATAATATTGCATATGCATTCTAGTTTAAAATCCTAAAGTGGCAATAGAATAGACAATTGGATTAAAAAGTTTCATAATTTTTATTAGTAAAATTTCTTTTGAAAAAAGAAAATATCATTACACCTTAAAAGACTTTCTAAAATACATAATCACAACAAATTGTAGTTTTTTATGCTTCAAATTGGTAAAAGTGGTATAAATGATTAAATCTAGACCTAGATAGAGTATCTTCTCTTGTATATGTGACAAAAAATTGGCTTTTTGATTGTTATTTTACGTTATTTTATCTTTAAAAAAAATGTGTTGCACTCCTGACCATAGAAACATAGATCTGAAGCACAGACAGATCCTGTAATTGATAAATCTATTTGGTAAAAATGTTCTTTGTGTCTTTATTTTCCAAAATAAAAATCAGAAAATCATATAATGATAATAGTTTTTTCATGCTTGGGAGCAAAACATCAAATGTTGCACTCCTGACATTATTGGGTATGCACATATACTTGACTCTTATTATTGCTGCTTGTGATTTATATAATATTTTTAAGTTTTAAAATGTATATCAGTTATTTTTTTACACTTCAAAAATTCTTTTTTATCTTGATTCTCTTTCAGAATTTTACTATTGATGTTTTTTTTGTTTTTTTTTTTTGGCATCACTACATTTTTTCTGTTGCACTCCTGACATGGTATAGCATTTTTTTAAACATCAGCCATGACCACAACTTGATTAAACAAAAGTTACTACAGTACACATTTAAAGCTCAATACTTTAAATATTATCAGGAAAGTCTATATTTTCAACATAAAACATTATTATTTATTTCACAGATCTCCAAAAAATATTGAAATTTCAAAATGTCACAAAAAGGTGTTGCACTCCTGACATTTTTAGTATCATTTTTGGGCATAACTTTTTTGTTAATTGAGATATTAATGAGATATTTGGCAGGTGTTTAGACACTATCTAAAGACATATGCTGAGACATAGAAATCTATTTTCATTGCCTGTATTTTTAGTATGGGTTGATGAATATGCGTTTGGTCATATTTTTTTTTTAATTCACCCTATAAAAAGATCTGGTCTCTTAATTGCAGTTGATAGCATATACCAAATTAAAATACAAACATGTAGTTCTTGATGCCAACCTTTTGTTTTCAAAATTAATTTGGTACAAAGTTGTCAAAATAATTTTATATCGTATGATATTGATATTTCATTTTTTTAAACCTCAACAAACATTTTGCAAAGTGTTATGTCTCACAAAGATGACAGATGATTGCAAAGTTTTACAATCTAATAAAAAACAATGATTAGTATTTTGGTGTTTTATTCAGCTGTGAGAGCTAGAGTTCGATAAAAAAATACAGTAAGTAGCAATTGAATTTTGACTGTCAATTTTAACATTGTGAACACACTCTAGATCCATAAAATAATTTTAGTGACTTGGTACCTTTTTTAAAAAAAAAAAAAAAAAAAAAAAAAAAAAACTCCATTGGGGGTCATTGGTCCATTAAATTCTGAACAGTTCTATTTTGACTTGGTATACAGTAAAACATCCTTATAGGGAATATATTTATATTGAATTGATGCTTATGGTGAAGAAACAGATGTAACAAATCATGTTTACAAAGAAGCAAAATTGCCTGTCCCTGACACTTTGTTATTTTATTAGTGTGTTTTACTGTACTATGTAATTGGTAAATAACATCTAACTTCACAC